TGTTTTCATACAGTTTTGTATGATGGCTCCTAACTTGAATTGAAAAAATTGTTGCAGCTGACAAAGAAGATTCATGAAAATTGGTCTACTTTACTTCTGAGAAAAGAGGTTAATGATTTTTTCCCGTAAAATTTCATTTTCATTTCCCAAGTCAGTCGAAAAATAATAGCAAAACTTTAGAAATTTACATAATGATTTACCAACAGAAAAGAAACGCGCATTTATCAGCAAATCGTTTTTTTTACAAGTGATTTTTCCACTTGCGTTTAATTTGTCAAAGGAGCTTTTCTGAATTTAGGATTTTTTTGAAAGCTTATACAAATGAAGTTTTCAAATGAGCCAATAAGCATGATCACTTTGGTGGTGAAACATTTTGCGAAATATATAGATTAAGAAAAAGTTATTGTGTTCCAAATCACAATGGTTGAACAATTTTGACACGATGAAATCTTTGTTGTGATGTCTAGAATTTTTCTGGTTTATTCTTTTCATTCGAAAAAAAAAACAGCAAGAGCTGTTCCGTTAATTTAAAAGTTTCTTTGTTAAGCTTTATACAAATGGAAATCATTGCGTTTTTTTAATTCCGAGTACCTTCAACGCACCACAATTCAAGTTTTTCTCTCCAAATGAATAAATTTAGTGAGTTGAAATCATTTTTTTTCAGTTCTGTATTCAAAAAAACTAAGTCTTGATTTTTCATCAAATACATCAATAATTTCAAAACTTATGGGTTTATTACAATTATCACTTATTTCCTGTTTTCTTCCGCTGTTCAATTTTTTTAAAACATAGTTAAACTGTAAATAGTAATTCTTTTCCTGTGCTATCGTAATTAAATGATTTAATGATTTTGCGTTTTTGCTTAACTGTTCTTGTAAGTCCGTGTTTGTATAACTCTTAGTTAGTTTATTGAAGTCATAGAGCGTTCAAAATGAAAAAAAAAGTTCAAAATTTTTTTATTTTGCCCCATGTGAGTTGGGACGGATGTCTAACTCATAGAGTAATTTCAGATAAGGTACACCGTCTGCTCGTCACGCTATCTTATTTTCGGCCGGATAGATTCGTGCAACTTCTTAGTCTAATTTCGGATCAGGTTCCACATGGTTTAAAAAATTATTAGTGTGATACTTAACTGCCAATAAAGCCTAAATTGCAAAAAAAAAATAAATATTTGCGTTGAAACAGATGTGTTCGCAGCGCCAAAACTATTGTTTTTACCGTGGTTAGAAGATATATAGACCAAGAAACTTTGAAAATAGCATAAGTTCTGGAAAACCTCAAAAAAGTTTGCTTTATGACTACCAGGCAAATGAATGGTTTGGACAAATTTCTTTTCTTAATAAAGTTAACAATCACTTCAGAATGTTTTATTGTTACTTTTCTACACCGAGATTTTTTTCCAAAAATATCCAACTTTTTTGTTTCAAGTTGTATCACTTGAAAGAGTTAGATCAGTTGAAAGAGATTAACACGAATCCTTAAGTGTACTTTTTTCATCGAAATCATTTTGGTGTCAAATTTTTTGTGGAAAACTGTATTCGTGCTTTTTGTTCCGTCGCACTGTGAGCTCCGCTAAATACAACTATAGGATAAAATATTTATATCGAAGTTATTGATTAATATATTGACAAACTCAATTGAATTAATTTTTGACAAACTCTTTAATTCCTATTTTTGAGCTCAAAGAAAATTGTTTAAAATTTAAGAACAGATCATGAATTAGTAAAAGTCAAACAGCTGAAACTCAATTTCTGTAGACAAAGGTTGTTTTCTTTTTTTGGACAGATTTGTGGGATGCTAGTGATAAATTTTTTCGCTTTTTTACAGATTAAAGGTGAATTTTGAGAGTGGAAAAATGGAGTTGAGATAGAAAACCATTTGCATGTTGAGTTGGTAAAATGAATAATTTTTGGTTTTCTTTGTTGTTCCAACTTGTAGAGGAAGTGACCGAACATATGTTTTTGGTGGCTATTTTTTATTTAGTCAATTACCAACTTCTCAGCCTTGCTTTTTTGACGGACAATTTTGCACTGATACAAACTGAATTACGGCAAATCATTTGGTCATATTATAAGAATACGAAACGCTAAATGCATTTCTTTGTAATTAACATAACGCTTAAAGGAATAACACGCAGAAAGAAGTGAAAAAAATGTTTTTTTTTGTTGATTTTATCATTTTTCCAATCTTAGACAATTTAATTGGCCTGAAAGTGCAGTCGGAATATTCAGGGCTTTACCTTGCTATACGAACAATCTTGTGTAATTTTTTTCAAATTGTTTGTATTGAGACACAGCGTAACAGTGAATCACAAAGTTATATAACTCATTATTTTTCTTCGATGTTGTGTTTTGGTGTTTTACAACGCTATCACTTTCCTGAAGGACCGTAATAGAACAAATGACCGTGAATACAAAACGACGACCAGCATGTTTTTCTAGTGTTTTCAAAGAGTACTAGAGTAGCTCAGATGTTAAAATTCAGGACGGCTAATAAAAAAAGTTGATAGTGTTTGCTTTCATCATTTAAGGAATCACATCTTGAAAATACTTTGTTTAATGTTCCGAAAATGTATGCTCTGTATTTTCTACTTTCAAATATCAAAGAGTCGTTTTTGAGAAAACTTTGAGGCTGTCTGAAATATTTCAATACAACGTTTTAAAATTAACGAAAACAAGCTTAACTTGTGACCTTTTTATGATTTTATGGGGTTTTGAAGATTGGCCAATTTGGGTCATTGAGTCTCGCTAATTTTCCCATTTGCTATTAAGACATAATGTGAGCTGAAAAACTCAGAAACTATTCTCAAGTCAATTGAGGCGAAATTTGTTGATCGAGATAGAGCGTTAAAAGATACTATATCAATTATTTCTCAATATACATTGCGTTTGGAAGATTTCGAAAATAAATTTTGATTCTTACCAAAAACTAAACAGAAAAATTACAGGACCGTGCTCTCTTTATCTGTTCTCTTTATGCACTTAATAGGTCATCGTGATTCTGAATAACCGATGTTTTGTATATGAGTCTGAAGAAAAAATGTTTTGAGGGTTTAAAGAGTCTCAATTTGGCCAATTTGGGATAATTAACGCGCGATATATTTCGTGCTATTAACGCGGTAGCGGAAATTTAATCCTTCTTGGAAATCGTTTCAAAATGGATTGAGGCATGGTCTTTGGTCTATTTTTATCTATTTGCAATATATATCTTTTCGTATTTTTCATAGCGTGGGGGGATGTTTTTTTCAGTATGAAAAATTAATACAAAATACGCTTTTGTTCAACAAATTGATCAATTTTTAAAAAGAACACTGCTCCAAAGACTTTGAAAAGCAGTTGGGGCATTAAGAACTTCGCCCTGATACGAGAAGTCTTGTTGCTTCTACTATTTATGAAGAAAATTAAGGAACATTTGTACTCGGGTATTTTTTTCTCCACATTTTTCCGACTTTCGTAACGAAATTAACAGAATCTTTGGCCTCGGGGTGAGTTTTTTTTCTTCAGACGAATTTCGACTTTTTACCTAGCCATTTTTCAAAAAAAAATTTAATCATTCGAAAGGTATTATTGTCCTGCGCTGAAATTTGAAAAATTATTTTACCTGTGATCCCTTTTTGTTAAGTTATGACGGTTTAAAGATTGCCATTTTGGCCAATTTGGGACAATTAACGCGCGATATATTTCGCGCTACTAACAAGTAGGAGGAGATTTAATCCGTCTTAAAAAATGTTCCAAATTGGTCGAAAGAAGCTTGTTTGTCTTGATTGATTTGTTACTTGGAGCGAAATCTATCACTTAGTACTTTATATGGCGTGTCGGTGGAAGATTTATTACTGCTCCATAGACCTTAAAAGGCACTCGAAAAATTCAGGGCTTTGCCCTGATAAGAGCAGTTTTATTCTGTTTGTACTTTACATAGCGTGCATATGGGGTGGATGGACTTCAAAAAAACTCAAAAAAAATTGAATTTTTTTTTTAATTTCATCAATTGCTTCAATTTAACTGCTGCATTGAAAAAACATCAATCGAAACATTCGGGGATTTGTTCTGATCAAGGCAGTTTTGTGAATTCTTGCGGCCTTTTTTTGAACTTTTTCGAAATGAATTTTCCTATTTTTTTTTGTTTGAATCATGCTTAAAAATTTTTTTTAAAGTCATTCCTTTTGAAGTTGTTTTCCCAACAGCTTGCAAATAGTCTCATTCCTCGCGTTGTATTGTTTCATCCAGGCATCTTTTGGAAATTTTGAATTGGAAACTTTCAGGTGCATTTTGATGTACTTTTTATTTCATGCTCATTTTTTTCTTGATGAAAGTTTCTTTCATTGACTAATTTAGCAGCTAGATGTGAAATATTTTCTGTTCAAATTTTGTTCAGGCACTCAGTGCTTGCTAATACTGTTGATCGCAAATAAAAAGATCTATTTTCTTTTTGAGTGGGTTATTTTTTTTTCTTGTAAATGAAGCTGATGAAAACCGACATGGTTTGTTCTCTAATCTCTAATATCTCCAAAAACATTTAATTCATTAGATCTGCAGACAATCCTGAAAAACTTTCAAGCATATTAAAGAAGATTTAACAGATTGATCCGGTACTCCTAATTGCAGAACTGGAAATGGTTTATTTCTGAAGTGAGAAACCAACAACCCTTTCTATACAGCCGGGTGAAAATCAATGAAGTGTCCGGTAGCCTAATTTAATTGCAGTTTTTTTTTCCTTGAATATCTGTTTGTTGGAATATTCAAGGAAACAGAGAAAAGTAACAATGAACTCTATGTAACCATGCAGCGCAGTGTCCCAATCTGAAAGTGGGACTCCAAATTACATTAGCTTCCACTTGTACCTGGCGGTCCCTGAACGCTGAAAATGAAACTGAAATGCATGTTTGGCGTATTGGCGCTAAGCATTGTTCATTCACTGTAACAAATAATGTTAAAAAAGAACCAATCAAAAATTGGCATTTGACTCAGCTAAAAAATAAAACATTTTTGACAAAAGCTGGCGTAAAGATAATATAGTATTTTTAAAATTAAAAAAATATTGTAGTTTGTCTTTGTTAGCATTTATAATCAAAGATTTGAAGGAACTATTATTCGTTTTTATTGCTTCGCTTCTTTGATGATCACTTTATTATGGAGAATTGAATTATTGTTACATTACAATTGAACAGCGTCGTGTTTAATAATATTTTTAGTTTTCATTCCTTTCAAGTGTTTTTTGTTATCTGGTCAAATTGTGACAACCTTACTTTTGAAGCAGATTTGCTATCTCCTTAATATTACGCCTCCCGTCTGCTGGCCGCTTTGACAACTAATAGGAAGCAGGGCATAGTGATCAAGGAATGCCCCACACCAACATTTGTGGTTTATTTACCTTAACTTAGCTCGATAGAAATTATTGAATGTTTGCAAACTTTTTTCCGGCACAATGCTTTTGGGCATACCAATAAACACAGGAGAAACTGGGGCTATAATGGTAAATGAATTTGGGCAAGGGAGCTGGTAGTTTTTAAGAAACAATTCGGTGTAAATATAACCACTAAGGTGTGTAATCAATTAGGAGTGAACAAAGATAAACTAATGCCTCGTATGCGCCACCAAAATAAGTGTTGTTTTGAACAAAATTACCAGCCACGTATGGTGTCAAAGGAAGACTTCAAAAAAATCAGAGTTCCGCCGCCAAATTAGTTTGGCGCCAAATATTTCCTTGAGAATCAACTGACATTTCCAAAAGGCGGCGGCCCGATTCGTTTCTTCATCGCAGTATCGAAAGAAATCTCTTCTCCTCTGAGGAGCTCTTGAGGTCTTTCAATCCTCGTTTTGAATTCATGTCGCGCTTTGCCCATATTTTTTCTAATTTTTTTCTGGATCAACAACTTGAGCTTTATCTTCAATTTTGTGCTGGCGCGAAATGTGAATAAATTTAACCCACGCCCATGGCGGGCGAATTTAGGTATAAACTGTATCAAATATGGATTGTGAAGCAAGTAAAAACATCTAAGCACCCTGAAATGCGTTTATCTCAAATATAAGATATACTACATTTTCATGTCTTTTAAAAAACAAAATCGTATCGGAAAAAAGTATTGCGTGATATTATTTACAAGTTCATGTGTAATTATTCGCAAATGACAAAAGCGGCCTCGCCGTCTTCCAGATAAAAAACCTTTTTAGGTAAATAGTTAGGTTAACTACCAGTGTACCTGTTTAAAAATCTGGTGTGCTTTAAATTACAGTTTAATACCTCTTTGCTACCCCTCACACCACGATTATCTAGTTACATCTCACCTTTATAACTGGTTTATAATCGATAATTACCTTCATCTTGCATATTTATTTATCTCCGACGACCAATAAAAGAATTTGGTTTCCTGGATAAAATAGTACCTTATTTTCCTTTTTACTCCATAAATTTGTTATTTTTCCAACAGCGCGCATATGTGATTGAAACATAAACTGTGAAGTTCTTTCATTCGTAATCAGTTTTATTACGAACCCGGGATGTTGTTTTACAAGGGTATGATTTTGACCTCTTATCCCGTGTACATCAATCAGTCTTGAACTTCATCTGTAATTTCAAAGCGAGCACAACACAGCATCCTATTATATGAAAACAATCGATCAATAACCAGGTTAATCTGGCTTCTAAAAATGTCCACAACATTGTTACATTCCATGTCCATACCAGTATGTCTGACTCCAGGGTTGTTACTATTTTGGGCTCTGCCCAATCTGGTGAGGTCACGTGAGCCCACGATGAGTGGGTACGGTAGGCCAGACGGGCAGGGCTTCGAAGGTCTCCTCCAGCCAGCTAATTACAGGTAGACTAAAAAACAGCACTTGTATCGATTTCAAAGTTTCTACTTCGGGACAAAAACGTCTATGAATCGCAGAGGATCTATAAAAAATTTTATTGCTTATGCAAGGATATTTCTATTATTTCTCCAGACAGTTTTTTTACTGAGCGTTTTATTTTCGTGGCTCAAGGCCGTTTTTTTTGCAACTAGAATTTTAATATGGCGCCACCATTGAAGCATATTTGCCAGGCTATGGAAAACTTGAATTTATTAGAGGTCAAAGGAGAAATCGTTTTCAAACACTATCATTGCCATCGCAGGTGATCGAATTCCCGCTCCGATGATTCCAAATCAGATGCCGTGTCAGTGAAATTTAGTCTTCCTCTGAGTAATTTCAAAGTAGGCTGAAAAGTTATAGTCTACTGGCCGCATTCAAGTGCTAGTCTTTTATGCAATTTTCGAATATTTAACATATTTTTGTATCATGATCTGACTTTGAAAAAAAATTATTGTACGTCAAAACGTAAAAACAGATTCTAACAAGGATAGCCGGTTACCGTGCATGTAGCACAAAAATTTTCCGACCAGTCCTAAAAAACCACTCGAAAGTTTTTTTTCAAATTAATAATTAATGTTGTTTTTTCTGGGTGGTTTGAAAAAAGATCCAACAATCATAGAAAAATAGGCAAACTGGACAACAGTTTTTGAAGAAAAAAAATTTAAAAAATTTTCACAAAATTTTTTTTTCGATTTTTTTAACTCCCAAAATGGCGTTAAAAACTCCAAAAACTAACTTTACTCGAGTAAAAATGAAAGTAATGACTATTGTAAACGGCTTAAATTAAGCATAAATAAATTAAATCATTTATTGTAAGCGGCTTAAGTTAAGCATAAATAAGCCTGATCGCTCGCTTTACTTGCTCAAAATTAGGCGAAAATCAAAAATTTCAAACCGGTCTTTCTTGACACTGGGAAAATTTTTGGATTTTTTAGTTGTTGTTCGAATGACGACTGAAAAAGCTTGATTTTGAGTTGCTTGCAGAAAAAAAGTAACTGAAAAAATGATGGAGAAGAAGTTACTTGCAGAAAAAAATCGAGTCCTAAAGCTTCTTAGAAAAATTTTTCAACAAAAATTTCTCATTATAAATTTTGATCTTAAAATTTTTTTGAAACCAACCAATTTTTCAGTTTAATGGGAACGTTTTTTTCCCACAATGTGCAACAAACAAATAAACAGTGATCAGTTTCGGCTCAGAAAGCGTTCCAAATGAAAGTTACTTGTCCAAAAAAGTTAATTGTTCATATTTATGGAGGAATTTTGATTTGGAAGGAATTGCTAGCTTCTAAAAGGTTTTACAAGGTTGATCCAATTTTGTACACCGAAATATTTTTGGTAAAAAAGAAACTTTCGGAACAAAAAAAAATTGCAAATAATCACAGGATATCTTGAGTGTTTCCCAAAGTTTATTCCGATATTGTTCGCTTAGCAGCATTGTTGATGATTAGAAAAATTTAAAACGAGTTGTTGGCGAAGCTAGAAATAAACATTTTGGCTAGAAAAAGACTGCTCATAACAGTGCAAAGCCCTCGTTAACGTTAATGTCCATAAAGTATCTAAGTTTAAATTGGTGAATCAAAAAACATACATTTATACTGAACATTTTCCCAGATTTTTTATTGAAAACAGTCCCCAAATGTTTTTTCAAAATTTGAAAAGCACAAAGTGATGCTAAAAAAACCCACACACCTTGCCTCATATAAAACTTGACTGCATTCTGAGCCGGATTGAGTTTCTGCGTACGCGTTAATAGCACGGAAGTAATTGCGCGTTAATGTTTATAAAAAAAATGGTCAAATAGGCAACTTTAAAATCTCCGTAACCTCGCAATCACTACTAATATAAACATTTTTTTTAAATATGAGCTCACTTAATCGATACTTCTCAGATGACATAAAATGTCCATCAAGAAAGGCTAGTTGAGAAGCAAACTTGGCCGAAGAAAAAACCGACCGCACTGAACCGACCCCAACGATGTTCGACTTTGTCTTCAGAATTTGGGGCAAAAAGATTTGGAACATCAAAACGGACACCAAAATTAGCTTTAAATTGAGGGGAAATTTTGTATTAGCAAGATTAGTTTCAATGAGCAGAAACAATTTAAACTGATAAGCCTGGGCTCATTTTTGAATGCTCCTGTCTGCAAGACTTGTAGTTCTAAACAAGACTCTTAGCGTCAGGGTAAGGGTCCGAATTTTTTAACCGTTTTTTTAATCATATGCGTGTTTTATTTAAAAATCTGACTTGAAAGATCAACAAGATTGCTCGTATCAGGGCAAAGCCCTGAATATTTCGACTGCCTTTTAAGGTTTATGGAGCAGTAATAACATTAAAAAAATAAATGCAATAAAATAAAAATCAATTTTTTTTAATGAAATTTTTTCTAAAAACATCCCCCCACACGCCATATTAAGTAGGAATCACTGGCAAAAACGTAACCAAATGCTAGTGATAGATTTTGCTCCTATTATCAAATCAATTATGGCATATAAGCTTCCTTGAGCCAATTTGGAACGATTTCTGAGACGGATTAAATCTCCGCTTACGCGTTTAAAGCACGAAAGATATTGCGCGTTAATTTTCCAAAATTGGCGGAAATGGCAATCTTTAAACCCCCATAACTGTACGAAAAATGATCACAGGTAAAATATCTTTTCGAATTTAGACTCAGGACAGCTACAATTTTTGAATGATATCAAAAAATTCCGTCAAAATAGGCTAGTCGTAATTTGTCCGAAGAAAAAAAAGCCCATCCCGAGCACAAATTTTCCGTTACTTTTGTTACGAAAGTCGGAGCAATAATGTTAAGAAAACGTCAAAAAGGTTTGAAGTCTTTAAAAGTTTCTTTTCCCAAAGTGTTTCCCAAAGTTTATTCCGATATTGTTCGCTTAGCAGCATTGTTGATGATTAGAAAAATTTAAAATGAGTTTTTGGCGAAGCTAGAAATAAACATTTTGGCTAGAAAAAGACTGCTCATATCAGTGCAAAGCCCTCGTTAACGTTAATGTCCATAAAGTATCTAAGTTTAAATTGGTGAATCAAAAAACATACATTTATACTGAACATTTTCCCAGAATTTTTATTGAAAACAGTCCCCAAATGTTTTTTCAAAATTTGAAAAGCACAAAGTGATGCTAAAAAAACCCACACACCTTGCCTCATATAAAACTTGAATGCATTCTGAGCCGGATTGAGTTTCTGCGTACGCGTTAATAGCACGGAAGTAATTGCGCGTTAATGTTTATAAAAAAAATGGTCAAATAGGCAACTTTAAAATCTCCGTAACCTCGCAATCACTACTAATATAAACATTTTTTTTAAATATGAGCTCACTTAATCGATACTTCTCAAATGACATAAAATGTCCATCAAGAAAGGCTAGTTGAGAAGCAAACTTGGCCGAAGAAAAAACCGACCGCACTGAACCGACCCCAACGATGTTCGACTTTGTCTTCAGAATTTGGGGCAAAAAGATTTGGAACATCAAAACGGACACCAAAATTAGCTTTAAATTGAGGGGAAATTTTGTATTAGCAAGATTAGTTTCAATGAGCAGAAACAATTTAAACTGATAAGCCTGGGCTCATTTTTGAATGCTCCTGTCTGCAAGACTTGTAGTTCTAAACAAGACTCTTAGCGTCAGGGTAAGGGTCCGAATTTTTTAACCGTTTTTTTTAATCGTATGCGTGTTTTATTTAAAAATCTGACTTGAAAGATCAACAAGATTGCTCGTATCAGGGCAAAGCCCTGAATATTTCGACTGCCTTTTAAGGTTTATGGAGCAGTAATAACATTAAAAAAATAAATGCAATAAAATAAAAATCAATTTTTTTTAATGAAATTTTTTCTAAAAACATCCCCCCACACGCCATATTAAGTAGGAATCACTGGCAAAAACGTAACCAAATGCTAGTGATAGATTTTGCTCCTATTATCAAATCAATTATGGCATATAAGCTTCCTTGAGCCAATTTGGAACGATTTCTGAGACGGATTAAATCTCCGCTTACGCGTTTAAAGCACGAAAGATATTGCGCGTTAATTTTCCAAAATTGGCGGAAATGGCAATCTTTAAACCCCCATAACTTTACGAAAAATGATCACAGGTAAAATATCTTTTCGAATTTAGACTCAGGACAGCTACAGTTTTTGAATGATATCAAAAAATTCCGTCAAAATAGGCTAGTCGTAATTTGTCCGAAGAAAAAAAAGCCCACCCCGAGCACAAATTTTCCGTTACTTTTGTTACGAAAGTCGGAGCAATAATGTTAAGAAAACGTCAAAAAGGTTTGAAGTCTTTAAAAGTTTCTTTTCCCAAAGTGTTTCCCAAAGTTTATTCCGATATTGTTCGCTTAGCAGCATTGTTGATGATTAGAAAAATTTAAAATGAGTTTTTGGCGAAGCTAGAAATAAACATTTTGGCTAGAAAAAGACTGCTCATATCAGTGCAAAGCCCTCGTTAACGTTAATGTCCATAAAGTATCTAAGTTTAAATTGGTGAATCAGAAAACATACATTTATACTGAACATTTTCCCAGAATTTTTATTGAAAACAGTCCCCAAATGTTTTTTCAAAATTTGAAAAGCACAAAGTGATGCTAAAAAAACCCACACACCTTGCCTCATATAAAACTTGACTGCATTCTGAGCCGGATTGAGTTTCTGCGTACGCGTTAATAGCACGGAAGTAATTGCGCGTTAATGTTTATAAAAAAATGGTCAAATAGGCAACTTTAAAATCTCCGTAACCTCGCAATCACTACTAATATAAACATTTTTTTAAAATATGAGCTCACTTAATCGATACTTCTCAGATGACATAAAATGTCCATCAAGAAAGGCTAGTTGAGAAGCAAACTTGGCCGAAGAAAAAACCGACCGCACTGAACCGACCCCAACGATGTTCGACTTTGTCTTCAGAATTTGGGGCAAAAAGATTTGGAACATCAAAACGGACACCAAAATT